CTACTACTACTACTACTACTACTACTACTACTACTACTACTACTACTACTACTTCTAGTGATAATGGGGATATATAATGTTTTAAAAGGAATGTAAGAAGATTGCTTTTGTAACTTTTGGGTTGAGGCATTTATAAATCAACTTGTAAATAAAAAATACAACAATGATCAAGATCTTTAATGTGAGAAAACTGCATTATTCTTCTTCATGTCCTCTCCCCCATATTTCCCCACCCGGCCCTTTTTCATACTACATCTATCTTCATGTAGCGTCATTCTTACCGATAATCCTCACGGCTGCTTTCCCTCCCCTCTCTTCATCTTTGATGCGCCTGGCTGCTTCAGCCGCCTGGTAAGAAGATAAAGACATAATAAACTTGTGCAAATTCTTTTAAAAAAAAGGTTGAACCCCCCCCCCCTCGCAACAAAACACAACCTCAGTATCTTTCTCAATGTAGACAAAAACGAGACCAACGCTATTCACAATGTTTACTCTATAGTCAAATAATTTATTATTTAGGGTTGGTGTGGAAGACAAGGAAATAATAATATAAGGCTTTCAGTAGTATTTAACCCTATCCATACGTCGTGTTTTCTATCGTATCCATACGACAGGGAGAACTCTGTGCCATCACTTTCCAAAGAGGAAATTTACTCGTTAATCCGATCCATACGCTTTGCGTAGAAGTCTGTTACTGTTAAAATGATTTATTGAGAAATACTGAAAGTTTCAAATATATCTTTACACTAAAAGTCTTCTAAAATGTGAAGAATACAACCCTGGGGATTTAAAATGACCCCAGGGCGTCCGAATAAGGTTAATAACACAGAAACATACTTGTAAAATATTATTACACTTTAAAAGTGAACGAGAGACTGGCGTTGAATGTTTCTGACAACAGCAGAAATGAGCGGAGCATGACGATGGCTCGATTTCTCTGATGTTGTTGTGTTCAACCTACTATCATTCTTGGGTGACAATAGTTATTGCAATTTTTTTTTTAAGTATAGAAAAAAATCGCCACGTGGTCGTGGAAAATGCGAAGTTACATTTTTTTTTATATTTGAGCTGTGAACACACATTTAAGCACCACAATGTTATTTCTATAGCATGGCCTAATTTTTAGACAACCTAGTATTGCTCACGTGAAGGTAAAAGCGTAAAGACTCGAAAAAAAAAACTGGATTTGGTACACAATTAAAAAAGGGGGTACGTTTTTATTATCGCTCGTTAATTATACCGTTAAAATACTGAGTAGGGGACATAACCTATTAATTCTTAAAGACGAGACAACATTCCCCAGTTACGTACCTTGATTCGTTCCATTTTGCTACTCTTAGGGCCGTTCCAGACAAAGATGACGAGACCGCAGTCCAGAATGAAAACATCGCCTTGGTTCAGAGAATTCACGTTCAGCTCCACCTGAAGACAAAAAGATTGGAAAAATTAGAAGGACAGAGAAAAAGAGAGGCAGAGAAATAAAGAAAGGAAGAGAGAGAAAGAGAAGTCGTGAGAGAGTGTGAAAGTTGAGTAAAAGAGAGAAAGAGAGACAGAGAAAGACACAAGAGAGAGAGAGAGAGAGAGAGAGAGAGAGAGAGAGAGAGAGAGACAGAGAGAAAGAGAGAGAGAGAGAGAGAGAAAGAGAAAGAGAGAAAGAGAGATAGAGAGAGAGAGAAAGAGACAGAAAGAGATAGTAGGAGGTATAAAAGGAAAGAGAGAGATAGTAGGAAGTATAAAGGGAGAGAGAGAGAGAGAGAGAGAG